ATGTTCCATCCTTTTTCCCGTTCTTTTAGTACAGTTTCGATGATGGATTAGCATTTCTTTTGATTGTCACTTACAGAAACCTGTTTGGTTTATTGAATTACAGTACTCTTTCCTTTCCTACAGCGTGAAGAAATTCTACGTTGAATCGCACGAAGAATGAAAATCATGTTCACCCGCCTTTAGCATAGGTTTTTTTCATGAATTTCAACAGTTCACGTGAAATCTTGTTATTCTTGTTTTCGTAGCATATTATTCTTGATATTTTATGAGCTACTATGAAGAGAAAAGATTGTGTGATATCAAACTGATTTGAAGGTGTTTGACAAGAAACAGAGAGAATGTCCACCATTACATTATATGACTATCAGATGATAACAGGCGAATGATAGAACGCTTGGAAGACATTGGCAATAATGATACCTCACGATCTTACGAGAAAATGAATACATCAGCACGAAAATGGACATTTGTAACATGAATCGTTAATTAAGATTCGATTAATGATAAAAAGCAGGATCAATGATATTTACCAAAATAGTGATCTTATGATTTACAGTAAAACAGAGCCACATAGATGAAATGCCATTTTCTGAAATAGCATGAGCTGAATACGAAAAGGGAAAAGGAATCTTTTTAACGGTGAGCTAAACCACGTATTCCAATAAGTTGATGTTTGGTTTTTTAGACTTCATTTTATTCCACGGGTGGGTTTTCGAAAGTGTAACAAGTAACAACTGAAGGACTTGTACAGTTTTGGCAAAGAGAGAACTTCCCAAAAGTATTAAATATCGGCAGACATAAATACAATTATAAGATGAAAAGTTGCAGTACGATTGTAATACGTGAGAAATGATCTCTCCTTTTGGCATCCGTGACAGGACGTCTTTCGAAATCGTGTTTCCCGTTTTCAATCATTTAAGCTGGTTTCTAAATTTATTTCAGAATATAATTGGGGAAATCATTTTGTTTTAGAGGAACTCGTAGCCGCTTTCTCTCACATATCACTCCTTGTGCACCACACAATCGCTAATGCGCATGCATTGCGCAGGGTGCAAGATTTTCCAGTTTCTTATTATTTTACAGAAATAAAAAGAGAATTTTTTTGGTCCACTTATAATTCAGCTTGTGTGGTGTTTACGAAATTATACGATTAGCTAAATTATACACGCATTTTGATTGCATGGCTTTTACTGATGATCTATTGGAAGAAATACCGTGATCTATGACGTCACCATTAACAATATTTTCTTTTCTACATTACAAAACAAAAATATTTCATGTTGCCGTCGTTCTGTTCAGTAGTAGATGAAAAATGAGGCCAATATGTGGTAAGAACATCAGCAACTCACTCGGCTCTGTAGTCATTTTTTTCAACGTGTGTTGAAAGTTGTAAGCTTATATGTGGACGTTTTGAACACAGGTTAAAACCTCCACATCCTACATATATTCTATCGAGGCAAACATTCTAGCTCCCTTTCTAAATCTATGTAAATATCCCCGGATTCATCAGTTTTTGAGGCTGAATAGAGGCTGTTATTAAATTTTCAACTCGGAGTGTTGCATTTCTAGTGTTCTGATTGGTTCACTCAACTCCGGTGATATCCGCTCATATTCCAAGTCACGTTATATCGAAACGCATTACGCAAACTGTTTTGGAGTTGAAAAATGTAAATAGAATGGGTATTTGATGCACTTAAAAAGTATGGAGACTCGAAATGTCAACATCTATTTCAAGTAACCATGAAGGAACGATCTCCGCTTACTTTGCACAACGGAAATATCGTCTCCTCTCAATCAAGAACGCTGGTGTTCGATCTCTAATGACGCCTTTTCTTTGATTTCTTTTTTCTTTTTCTCTATCAACGTTCTTTAAAAGAATATGTTTTTCTCGTCTCGTCCTGGACGTCACCATTACTGTTGTTGAGTTACAGGTCCGCTGCATTTGTCTTTTCTTTTCCTGCCTTTGGAAAAAAAGGGAGGCTCTAATCAGTCAGTGGACGAATATTCAAATTCGGGATCAGCAAGGTTTGTACAGAAGATCCATAAATACTGAAATGTAGGACGGCAAATAACCCCCCCGACAGTATATTTATCCGAGCGTCTAAGAACACATACGTAATATGTACGCAAACCTTATGCCTGCACTTTTAATTTGCTGATTTCAAATCGCAGTTAACAGTTAAATATGCGTTATTTCCTAACAGATTGTTCAATGTTTTACCAATTCTTAGTTACTAGTGAAGTCGAGC